ATATACACTCGTTGTATACAACACAATAAGCACACAAACATAATTATCAATATATTGTTTACAAAACTTGTTTACAAAAACAAACAATACAAAACATTGTTTATTATTATTGTTCTATAATATATATACCAATATACAGTCACTGAACATATTCCTATTAGTTCTGCAGCTTGTGGAACTCTGAAACATGGTGTCATACACAATGGTGTTTTATCTTTCTCCCTCATTCTATCTCTTTCAATCTGTCTCTCTCTTTCTATCTGTCTGTCTATCTCTGTCTCACAGGTACACATAAATACAAGTATACATAGTATAAATTACCTAGGATAACCCACGAAATCCAGACAAAGTGCTATACTCTGCTTGAAGATGTGAGTAAAAGTGATGACACAAGTCTTGTGGCTCTCTGAGACAGAGAGCTAGATGGATAGACAGATAGACAGGGAGCTTGACAGACAGACAAATAGACAGACAGAAATGTTAGTGTACCAGTACCAGTGTACTAGTGTTCCACCCTCCTCCTCCTCTTCTTCCTCTTCCTCCTCTTCCCCCTACTCTTCCTCATACTCTTCCTCTTCCTCCTCTTCCTCTTCCTCTACTCTTCCTCTTCCTCCTCCTCCTCTTCTTCCTCTTCCTCCTCCTCCTCCTCCTCTTCTTCCTCTTCCTCCTACTCTTCCTCCTCCCCCTTTCTTCTCTTCTTCCTCCTCCTCTTCCTCCTCCTCCTCTTTCTTCCTCTTCCTCCTACTCTTCCTCCCTCCTCCTCTTCTTCCTCTTCCTCCTCTTCCCCCTAATCTTCCTCCTACTATTCCTCTTCCTCCTCCTCTTCCTCTTATTCCTCTTCCCTCCTCCTCTTCTTCCTCCTTCTCCTTCTCCTCCTCGTCCATAGTGTAAATTACAAGGAGTCCGCAGCTGTCAAAGTGACATATTGGCTAATTACTCTTTCCCCCTCCGGCCTGTCAAAACAATGGGGTCGGATGCTGCTTCCCCTCCTCCATTCTATCTAATTATCTTTCTCCCTCATTCTATCTGTCTGTCTATCTCTGTCTCACAGGTACACATAAATACAAGTATACATAGTATAAATTACCTAGGATAACCCAAGAAACCCAGACAAAGTGCTATACTCTGCTTGAAGATGTGAGTAAAAGTGATGACGCAGTCTTGTGGCTCTCTGAGACAGAGAGCTAGATGGATAGACAGGGAGCTTGACAGACAGGCAAATAGACAGACAGAAATGTTAGTATACCAGCAAAAACAAAGGGAGGGCGATGTTCATCTCATCTTTTGGCATCAGCTCTACCCTCATTTACCCTCATCAAACGTCAGCACTTATCAGATGTTATCTCCCCTTATCTTGTTACTGTCATGGGTGAACATTTATTATTACATATTATTATTATTACCTATTATTATTATTATGTATTATTATTATTATGTATTATTATTAATTATGTATTATTATTATTATGTATTATTATTATGTATTATTGTTATCATTACGTATTCTTCTTCTTCCTACTCCTCCTCCTCTTCCTCCTCCTCCTCCTCTTCTTCCTCCTCCTCCTCTTCTTCTTCCTCCTCCTCCTCCTCCTCCTCTGCCTCCTCCTCCACTTGCCTCCTCCTCCTCTTGCCTCCTCCTCCTCTGCCTCCTCCTCCTCTGCCTCCTCCTCCTCCTCCATTCTTGGAACAAGTTTGAAGAGCTTGTAGTTCATAATCACTATCATTATCATCACCAATGCTCACATCTGAGTCTGGGATTTTGGAAAATAGGAGTTTCCTCTTTGATTCTGGTACAACTGAACGACGGCCCAGCACCAGAGGTGGAAGGCTGTGGGTTGTCTGGGTTTTCCTCACTATACTCATATTATGGTCATTAGTTTCGGTCAAAACCTCACCAGAACCTTGAAACTCATCTTCACTGTCACTTCCATCTGTATTAGAACTGTCACTGGGGAACAAAAGTGTCCCAATTCGCCGAGGAGTGAGGAACTTCTTACCGCAGGGCATGGTGGAAATTGTGTACTATGATGGCATTCCCACAATGCACCACTGGGTCCCAGATTTTTTTCCTACTGCGCACACCCACCACACAGACCCATTCTCTCACATCTAGGCTTATCAGCCTTTTCCTGCGAGATTTGAGGCCGCTAGAATTTATGCGTACTAGTACGTCAAAAACCCCTACACGTAAGACGTACTAGTACGACCAAAACCCTCAAAGGGTTAAGGGAGGTGTCTTACTTATTTATATAATGAGAGTGGAGACTATCGATGTGTATAAAGTGTTGTGGAGGAGAACATTTGTGAATTGTATAAGACTATGTATGTGCTATAAACGTGTTATGACTTCACGTTCGGGGAGATGTATCATAGAAAAAGACTAATATCTCTGTGTAAATATTTTATGCAAAGTTATATTTTATAGTATTACCTGTTAAAGAATTGGTATTAAAACCTTTGGTGGTTTATAAGGCAATTTAATAAATATCAAAAAGAACTGTGATATTATTACCGTTTGAACCTTTGAGTGAATTTGTGGAAAGCAGGACAAGTTTTCCTATTCCTTTGTTGCTTGAAGGGCTTAAACAGCCTTTCATATTGCCCTAAACACAACAGAATCCCCTAAAAGAACTGTCAGTAACAAACAGCAACTGGGATAACTCCCAATTTGTATCAGATCCAACATCTTTTAATTTCACACTTTTTCACAGCACCATAGCATTTATTTATTTCACATCTATAAATATGTTAAACCATGTGGGCATTACATGTCCCTGTAAGTCCCATTCTCACTGGAAAATAGACCACCTTACTCTGCATAAAGAAACTCTTAACTGCTTTTAGTAACTTACCTCCTTTTCCATACATTTGCAACATCTGCCACATGGCTTCCCTTTCCACCCCATCATATGCCCTCTTTAAATCCATAAATGCACAAACAGTGCTTTACCCTTATCTAAGTACTGCTCATTTATATGCTTCAATGTTTACACTAGATCTACACAACCCCTACCTTGCCTAAATCCTCTCTGCTCCTGTGCAAACCTACTTTCTGCCTTACACTCCTAACATTTTCAATAATAATTCTACCATGAACTTTACCTCGTATGCTCACTAAGCTTATCCCCTTATAACTTTTATATTATCTCTTGCCCCATTTTCCTTCATTATGATCAAATACCGTAATGACTTAATAAAGCTTTCTTGAAGCAAAACATCGGTATAATAAAGGCTTATGCTGTTTTGTGTGTTTTTTGATCTACAATGTTAGTTTCACAATACAGTAGGGCCCCCGTATCCAAGGGGGGATACGTTTCAAGGACCTGCCATGGATGTGTATAAGTATGTATAGGGCTTATATGTAGCCTTATACATACCTATTACAAAGTTTAATTGATAACCTATGCACAGTAAGTGGAGAATTATCACTTTTTCACTGATGGGAAGTACTTCACAGCTTCTCTTAGGCTTTGAAGAAATGCCAGCTTTTCTACTTTTGTGCTTTGGGGCCATTATTATGCAAAATTAAGAGGTATTTTTGGGCCAGAGTAAACTGTGGATAACTGAAACTGCAGATACCAAATCAGTGGACATGGGGGATCTACTGTATTGTAAAATTCTCCAAACATCATTCACATCTCCACCATCATAACTCTTGCTGGTGGAAGTGTCACTTGTACCTTGGCACAAGTAATTGATTCCAAAATGCAAACATATACATAGAATATCGCAAGTCAGAAAGTTGCAAGTTGTGCCCCATACTGTATAGTCAAAATGTAAACTTGTTGTGCCTCCTACTGTACAGTCAAAATGTAAACTTTAATTAACCCTTTGACTGTTTTGGTTGTATATATACGTCTTACGAGCCACCGTTTTTGACGTATATATACTCATAAATTCTAGCGGCTTCAAATCAAGCAGGAGAAAGCTGGTAGGCCCACATGTGAGAGAATGGATCTCTGTGGTCAGTGTGCACCATATAAAAAAAATCCTGCAGCACGCAGTGCATGAGAAAAAAAACTCCGAACGTTTTTTTCTAATTAAAATGCTGACTTTGTGGTCTATTTTTGTACAGTATTTTATGGTTGTATTCTCGTTTTCTTGGTCTCATTTGATAGAATGGAAAACATATTATAGAAATAGAGGTGATTTTGATTGGTTTTACTATGAAAAGAACCTTGAAATGGAGCTCAAAGTGGGGGAAATGTTTGAATTTTGCCGATGTTGAAAAGTAAACAAATGATATCGTTTTCCAATAAATGTCCAAGTAGCCATTCTAATATGCAGTCATGAATGGGTTGACATTATTTATGCAATTATTACAATATTGCAGTAGTCTGCATAACAGAAAAATCTTCTATTATTTGTTTGAATAAAAATTCAAAATAGAAAGCAAGAGTAATATCAGAGGGGCCTGGAGACATGCCTGATGAACAAAGAAAATGTTATTTTAGAGCCAGGAATGTCTGCATTGTTCATTCTGGACCCTATTATGAAATTGTCATATTTTTTAATTTTCGTGAAATTGGCCAAATTACAAATTTCTGACAACGTTATTAGGTAGTTGAAATCGGTAAATGGGCAGTTTCTTGTACTCAATTGATAGAAAAAATGGAGTTCTAAAGAAACAGCTATGAGTTTGGTCAACTGGAACAATGGAATTACCCGAAAATAGGGCTCAAAGTGGGGGAAATCGCTGATTCATAAATATTGCTGAGGTCCCTAACTTCGCAAGAGCGTAATTCCGTCAGTTTTCCATCAAATTTTGTTCTTTTTGTGTCATTACAATCAGGAAAAGATTCTCATTTAATTTCATAAGAAAAACTTTTGGGGAGGGATTTTGCTACACCTGGAGACACCTCAGGATTTGGGGTTGCGACAGTCAAGGGGTTAATGTGCCAAGATTAATAGAGATTTTAAAAAAGCAACTTTTTTTTTAAGTTAGGAGCTGTAAGTACAGTATAATGTACAAGTAATGGACATTTTCATGCTGGTCCTACCTCATCATCCTGGGTCTTGCTAATATCCACAAGAATCTTGGCTGCAGGATTATCTACACCAATATTTCTCAGGATTGTTGCACCATCATTGGTTACCTCAATTTGACCTGTTGAAGTATTTCATTATTGAATGTTGTATAATAATTTACAAATAAATAAATACTTGATTTCCACATGATACAGTACACAGCTTTAACAAAACTGGATGACATTTCCCAATGTATGTTGAAAGACTCCGGTTTCTCTTTATAAGAGATTACTATATTTACTTTTTTTTTTGTGTTGTTTTTTGGTTCCTTTCTGGAAACTGCTCTAGTAACCCCTGAAATATTAAGCAGGTTTTTACATCCTAATCAGTGTAGCGAGATTGTTCATCCCATAATTATATTAATCATGAGTGAGTCTACTGCATACGTACTTTATTGTTATTAATTGGCAAGAAGAAACATCCAATATGAATGACAAATGTAAATCAGATGACTTATGTCTTATGACTGCAATATTCTACCCACATGTGCCACTGCTAGTTCTCAACCAAGAGAGACTTGTGGTGTTCACAGAAGCCAGCAATTTTCTTGCTATTCTAATGGCAAAAGTTTAAACCAGTGAGCAAACTGTGTGCCAGTGCTTCTGGACGAGACAAAAAATAAATCATGGAGGAAAGACCGAAGCTTCACAGCACTGAATATAGAAAATGCGGATGGATTAACAACAATGTCAAAATCTGGAAGCAGAGGTTTTAAAATGCATGGAAAATAGTGACCAACACAATACCAGCTCTATGACAGGCTGATTTTCACCTAACTCTCCTTGTACAATATGCATACATTTTTTTTTTATTATTTTTTATTAACACATTGGCCGATTCCCACCAAGGCAGGGTGGCACGAAAAAGAAAAACTTTTATCATCATTCACTCTATCACTATCTGCCAGAGGTGTGCTTTACGCTAAAGATGCAAAATTGCAACATTAACACCCCTCCTCCTTTGTAGGTACTAGGTTGGTAGACAGCAACCACCCAGGGAAGTACTACCGTCCTGCCAGATGACTGTGAAACAGAAACTTTTAACTGTTTTACATGATGGTAGGATTGCTGGTGTCTTTTTTCTGTCTCACAAACACGCTGGATAACAGGTATATCTTGCTACTTCTACTTACACTTAGGTCACACAACACATACATGTATAAGCATGTATATACACACCCCTCTGTGTTTTCTTCTATTTTCTTTCTAGTTCCTGTTCTTGTTTATTTCCTCTTCTCTCCATGGGGAAGTCGAACAGAATTCTTCCTCCGTAAACCATGCGTGTTGTAAGAGGCGACTAAAATGCCGGGAGCAAGGGCCTAGTAACCCCTTCTCCTGTATAAATTACTAAATTTAAAAAGAGAAACTTTCATTTTTCTTTTTGGACCACCCTGCCTTGGTGGGATATGGCCGGTTTGTTGAAAAAAACAAAAAAAAATCTTGGGTTTTTCTTTTTTCTTAATAGCTCTTGTTCTCGTTTTTTTTCCCTCTCTATTGTCCATGGGGAAGTGGTAAAGAATCTTTCCTCCGTGAGCCATGCGTATCGTATGAGGCGACTAAAATGCTGGGAGCAATGGGCTAGTAACCCTTCTCCTGTACACACTTACTAAAAATAAGAAGAAAAACTATAAATACATGTGTTATGCTAAACTCTTAGGAGAGAAAAACAAAACAGATTGGGACATACCCTTCATCAATTTTTTTTACACAGAACATGCCACAGGACTCGCCCATCTCAATACAGTGACTCAAACATTATTAATGCTCAGGGCAATATGTACATTCCAAATTCTGTTCACTCTTCCTCAAAAAACTAGAGTAGACTTAATTTTTCTTTTTTTAACAAGTCAGCCATCTCCGACTGAGGCAGGGTGACTTAAATATATGACTAAATATTATCTAGCCAAGTCATTGGTACACATGTACACTATATGCACTCGAGTATATACAGTAATGCACACAATCTTATTTGCCTTAAAAGGTATTGTCAATGAGACGTGCTTTTCCATTTTTAACAAAATATTATCCAATTCATTACAGTAGTTTTGTATCAATTTTTTGTCTATCATGTTTGTTAGCAAGACTGAATGGCTTGAATTTCAAGGTCTTTTTACTCCTTTTAAATATTAATACAATATTCACCACGAACGTGTGTGTGCCCAAGTGTACACATAAAATACAGCCTCTCCTCACTTAGCGACATACGTACTCGTTTACTGATGACTTGGACTTACGGCGGGCTCTCTGATCAGTATGCATACCTAAATACATAATGTATATTAGAGCTAAGTTTCCTCTATTCTGTTTATTACAATATATATTTTTATATAGCTGGACTTGAGTCCTGGAAATGGGAAATACAATGCCTGCACTTTAAAGGAGGGGTTTGGGATATCAGCAGTTTGGAAGGATATGTCGTGTATCTTTATACGTATATGCTTCTAAACTGTTGTATTCTGAGCGCCTCTGCAAAAACAGTGATTATGTGTGAGTGAGGTGAAAGTGTTGAATGATGGGGATTTTCTTTCTTTTTTTGGGTCACCCTGCCTCAGTGGGAGATGGCCGACTTGTTGAAAAAAAAAAAAAGTACACTACTGCATAAACATTTAAAAGTATACCAGAAATGTTAAAAATGGTGCAAAAGTGACATTAAAACAATATCAAAGATGGTTGACACAAACCCACTACCATTATAATATGCTCCTCACTTAGTAACGAATTCGTTCAGTGGCGTGGTCGTAGGAACGGAACTCCGTTGTTAAGTGAGGAGAGGCTGTACTATGATGATTTTCATACCTTCGTTTCTTCCCATTGCAACAAGAATTTTGTCCATTCCTCTGGGTCCAAGAGTTGAACGAACTAAATCCCCAACAGCAATAGCACCAATGAACGAGGAGAGGCGAGCAGTTTCTGACCGCTCTTCCTCAGCCTCTGCTCGCATAATCTGCACAGGATTAAGTGATAAAGCCTGGAAGAATAATAATTGGTTTAGCGCATTTTGGATTTTAATGTGATGTCATATAAACCAACACTTAATTCTTTAGGTCCACATAAAGTTATACGTGCTTTAAAATGTTTTGAATATGTCTTGTCTGAGATCATAGTGTTATGATAATTATAGAGAATATGTGGAAAAGGTGTACAGTAATTAAAAGAGTGAAACTGGAGTTAAGATGCTTTAGCCATGTAGACAAAATGGAGACTGATTATGGGAGCTTTATGTAGACTAGAAGACTCCTGAAAACTTGCAAAATGCGAAAAAACAAAAAATATTATTGACATCCTAGTAATATTGTATAAATATAAATTCCCAACCAAGCTACAAGAGTAGGAAACTCAAAATAGGTCACGGGTTAATCATAAAACACATACAAGACTTCTGTCCCAATTTTTTCCATTTTTATATGACAAAATTTAGCAGCAAAGTTTGGCAAGTACTTATATATGGTATATATACATGTGAGACGGTTAAAGGATGCATGTACAGTAACCAGCATCTTGGAATAGTTATCGTACAACACAACAGATAACTGGCAAGATTTCTACAGTGGAATACATAAATGCACCAGAAAAATTATACAGGGAGGAAGATAAAAGTTAATCCACGTGTGAGAAATCTTACTTTGCAAAGATAGGTTAAAACAGAGCTCACACGCAATGATAGGTTAAAGCTAGAAATGCACAGAATAAAGGACACTGGAATTAAAACATACAAATTAAAAAAAATAGGAATAAATGGTGAACATAAATTAAATGCAAAAAAAAAAAAAAAAAAAAAAATCTAACCCAATAAGGAATTGCAGCAATGGATTAGATGAATAAATTTAGATTGAGAAAAGAAACTAAAAAGCATTCTCAGGGAACCTCAATCACTCCTGGTGCTGCTTGACCAACGAGGGTTTAGCTCATGAAATACTGTATTAGATAAGTGCCATTAATAACAACCAGATTTTATCTTAAATTATATAAACAGTAATCAGTGTGGAAGAGTTAGTGCTGGAGTGGTTGGCATGGGGCAACAGATACAGGTGTGACAGATATGGGTGTGGCAGATACGGGTGTGGCAGATACGGGTGTGGCAGATACGGGTGTGGCAGATACGGGTGTGGCAGATATGGGTGTGGCAGATATGGGTGTGGCAGATATGGGTGTGGCAGATATGGGTGTAGAACCTATGGATGTGACAGGTGTGGAGGATGAAGCCAGGTGTAGGGGGAGGTAGCCAGGTATGGGGAAGGAGGTAGCCAAATGTGGGGAGGGAGGTTGCCAAGTGTTGGGAGTAGCCAGGTGCAAACATTAAGAGGAAAACAGTAAACTCATTGCTAAGTGTTTAAAGTGGGAAGGGTAGATTTGATTCAAATTTAATTTTATTTCAAATAATTCTACAAAATATATGAAAAACTGAAAGTCCATAGCAGAACATAAGAAGTGCAATAAGGTAAAATTACTGTTAGGTAAAGGATACACATGCAACTAAAGTGATATTTTATAACAGTAATGTTTTGCTCTTCAAAGCTCCTGGCAAGCAAAACATTACTGCAATAAAAATTTACATTAGTCGCACTTAAGAATACTTGGTTTCATATCAAGAAGTCTAGATTATAGAAGTCTTCAGGTTATACACTGCCAGGAAGTAAGTTCATTTAGGTTCAGGTACACATGAATACAGTTACACAAATTATCATACATAAGTAAGGGGCTAGTAACCTCTTCTCCTGTATATATTACTAAATAAGAACATAAGAACGAAGGAACACTGCAGAAGGCCTACTGGCCCATGCGAGGCAGGTCCAAGTCTCCTACCGGCTTAAGCCAATGCACCCAACCTAGTCAGGTCAGGTCACATTGACTTAAGGGAGGAACACAGCAACCGACCTGGTAGCACAAGCTATCAGGTCTCACACCCACCCACTCTACTCATGTTTTTACCAAACCTTTTTTTAAACTACACAACGTTCTGGCCTCTATAACGGTTTTTGGGGAGTTTTTTCCCCACTACCCACAACTCTATTCCCAAACCAGTACTTTCCTATATTTTCCTAATTGTTTTTTTCCAAAATTTAAAACCCCTGCTGCGAGTCCGTCTAGGCTAGATTTTTCAACACTATTTAACCCCCTTTTATTTATTCCTGTTTCCATTTATACACCCAATCATACCCCCTAATTTACTCTTTCTAGAGAGGCAGATTCAGGGCCCTTAGTCTACCTCATGGGGAAGGTTTTGATACGGGGATAACTTTGTCATCCCCCTTTGTACATTTTCCAGAAATTTTATCCATTCTGTAATAGGGACAAAACTGTGCAGCAAAATCTAAATGGGCCAAACCAAGGGTGTATAGAGTAAAGAACAACCTGAGCCCTTTCCTATTTTTTATGCTTTTGAAGAAGCCGGTTCTATTAGCTTTATTGCAAACACTTATGAAAGTTGTTTGGTTTCAGTTTACTGCAAACCAGAACCCCAAATCTTTTGCAATCCGAAATATTAAATCTACTTATTAGTTTATATGGGGCTGGTTTTTTCCCTGTCCAACATTTAAAAATTTGCTTTTGTCTTTTTAAAACTGCATCGCCACTCTCCACCACTGCATCAGTCTATCAAATCTTCCGGGATGCTCTAAGCCTCGTCAGAATAAATTTCCCGGCCTTTTTTTGGGTCTGGGCAAACTTGCCGGTCGCTCTTTATCCCCCATCTATGTCTTTTGTGATTGGAACAAACAGGGGGGCCCAACATGACCCCCGTGGAAAACCGCCTGACGCTTCCCCACTCTGATTTCTCCCCCTTTATGCAAACCCTGCTGCCATTTGTCAACATCCCCTACCGGAAAAATTTTCCCTCCTATTTCCCTTGGGTTTAAAATTTTTTTTTAATAGCTCTGATGTGGGACCCTGTCAAAAGCCTTACTGAAGTCCATTACAAATACTATTCATTACCCTGAAACACCCCCTCAAAAACCTTAGTGAAAAAAGTTAATAATTCGTAAGGCAGGAACCCCCTTTGTAAAACCCTGTGAGATTTGTTATTAATTTATGCTTTTTTTTAAGGTGGCTACGAACGCCCGGCAATTATGATTCCATAAAATTTTCCCCTTGGAGGGTTGGCTTATTGGTCTAAGTTCGAACTAAGGACCTGTCACCTGTTTTGAAAATAGGGACCATTTGCCATTTCCACTTATCTGGCACCATGCCAGTTTGTGTGAAATTTTTGAAAAGATTAGCCAAAAGGGGGCTAAGCTCCCCTTTACATTTCCTTGAACCCTTTCATACAGTTCATCAGGCTGGGGATTTGTTGGTTTTTAATTTACTATTTCCCAAGGGCCCTGTCACTTGGACCCCAATAGTGCACATTTTTATCGTCCTGTTTACAAATTTTTCATTTCTGGAATATCGTGGGATCCTCCGTGTAAAAACTGAGAGGAAGTATGTGTTAAAAATTCTACACATTTCCTTTTCACTGTCAGTGAGCTGACCCGAGGAATTTTTGAGTGGGCCCTATCTTGTCCCTGATTTTAAACTTCTGTATACCTGAAGAATCCTTTGGGTTAGTCTTCGATTCTCTTGCAACTTTAACCTCATAATCTTTTTTTGCTTTTCTAATTCCCTTTTTATTTCTCTCTTTAACTGAATATATCGATTTCTCAATTCCCCCTCTCCTCTTTTGATTTGCCTATATATGCCTCTCTTTGACCAATCAGATATTTTAATCTATTGTTCATCCATTTAGGAATCATTTTTGTTTGTTTCTGATTTCCCTATTTGGAACATAATTTGACTGACAGCTAGAATTTCCCTGGAAAGCATCATATCAGCAACCATCACCACCTACCTGACCCTTAGTCAGGTCATTTCCAGTTCAGCCCACCTAAGTAATTTTCAGTCCTAAAGAAATCAGCCAAGCGAAAGTCAGGATGGAGACTTTTTGCCATTATTAGGGGAATTCCATGATATATTTTAAAACTGAGTGATTTGTGATCCTTTCCCCAAGCTCATCATTAACCTCAAGATTATTAATTAGTGTTTCCCTACTGGCAAGAACCAAGTCAAGGAGGTTATTTCCCCCAGTTGGCTCTGTCACAAACTGTTTTAAAAAACAATCCTGGATCGTATCAAGAAAGTCACCTGACTCTAAATTTCCTGTCAAATTGCCCCCCAGTCAATCTGTCTATAGTTGAAATCTCCCATTAGCACAACATTTTCGTATGTAGATGCCTTACGAATTTCGTCCCATAGAAGTTTACTGCACTCCTTATCAAGATTTGGGGCCCCGTAAACACACCCAAATTAGTTTTCTCGGCCCCGAGAAGCTGTAACCAAACAGATTCAGTGGCTGACGCTTCTAATTTAATATCGTGTCTAACACAACAATTTAAAATTGTCTCGACATAAAATCGCTACTCCCCCCACCTTTCCTGTTGACCCTGGCAGTGTGGAATAATTTATAGCCTTGTATGTGACATTCGAGGGCATCTCCTATCTTTCAGATTGAGCCAGGCTCTGTTATAGCAATAATATCTATGTTTCCTGCACTTGCAATTAATCTTAGCTCATCTATCTTATTTCTTACACTCCTGCTATTAGTATAGTAAACCTTAAGGAGCTAGTCCCTTGCTGCCCTCTGCTGTCCCCCTTTGTTTGCTGACCTGATCATTGTCTTTATTTATAACTTCATGCTGAATGCCTTTTAATACATTTACTGTTTCCAACCCAATGTTGCAACCTGCTTGTTTCCCACTCCCACCCATACCTCTATCTTCCATCAGTTTAAAATCATAGGCATTTTCACCAAATGTAAGAGGAGAAACTTTCGTTTTTCCTTTTTGGGGCCCCCCCTAGGCTTTCTAACTTGTTAACTCACTCCAAAACTTTTTCTATTTCAACAAAATTGTGATAACATCTCACCCCTCTCTACATTTGCTCTCTTTTACATTGATTCACCACTCTCTTAACTTCTCTCTTTTTCTTCCTTATACTCTTCCCTCCTTGCAATCACATCTACTTGTAACAACTACTCCTATGCTAACTTTTCTCCCTTACACTCACTTTACAACATCAATCCACCAATCGCTCCTCTTCCCTCCTGCACCACGTTCCTGTAACCACAAACTTCTGCTGAACACCTCTAAAACCACTCCAATTTCAAACCTGACCCCATACCTCTCGACCCCATTTGTCCTATGCTCTCATTAGCCTTCTATCCTCCAATAGCTGTTTATATCTTACCCTAACTGCTCCTCTTTTATTATAAACCTTCACCTCTCTCTTCCCTGATGCTTCTATCTCCTTGTATCCCATCTAACTTTACTCTCAGGTAGCTACAACTAGAAAGTATCCTTATATATCTGTGGCCCCCTTATAACATGTACATACCTGAAGTCTACTCAAACTGTCTTTAGCTACCAATACAAAATCCAACAAACTACTGTCAATTCTCGCCCTACAATCATATCGTGTATACTTATTTATCCTCTTTTCTAAAATATGTATTACCTATAACTAAAACCCCTTTCTAATACAAAGTTCAGATCAAATGGCTCCCATTACTTACACCTGGCACCCCAAACATACCCTACCACACCCTCTCTAAAAGTTTCTCCTAATTTAGCATTCAAGTCCCCTACCACAATTACTCTCTCACTTGGTTCAAAGGCTTCCTATACATTCACTAAACATCTCCCAAAAGCTCTCTCTCTCCTCTCTTCCTCTCTTCTCTCCAGGTGCATACACGCTTATTATAAACCCACACCCTCGCATCCACCCTTTACTTTAATTCCACATAAGTCGTGAATTTACACATTCATAATTCTCTTTTCTCCTTCCATAACTGATCATTTAACATTACTGCTACCCCTTCCTTTGCTCTAACTCTCTCAGATACTCCAGATTTAATCCCATTTATTTCCCCCCACTGAAACTCTCCTACCCCCATCAGCTTTGTTCGCTTAGGGCCAGGACAGTCCAACTTCTTATCATTCTCACATCAGCCATCATCTGTTTCTTGTCATCCGCACTTAAATTATATAAACAGTAATCAGTGTGGAAGAGTTAGTGCTGGAGTGGTTGGCATGGGGCAACAGATACAGGTGTGACAGATATGGGTGTGGCAGATACGGGTGTGGCAGATACGGGTGTTGCAGATATGGTGTGGCAGATACGGGTGTGGCAGATATGGGTGTGGCAGATATGGGTGTGGCAGATATGGGTGTGGCAGATATGGATGTGACAGGTGTGGAGATGGAAGCCAGGTGTAGGGGAGTAAGCCAGTTATGGGGAAAGGAGGTAGCCGAATGTGGGAGGGAGGGGGGGAGGGGGGGGGGGTGGGGGGAGTTGCCAAGTGTTGGGAGTAGTCCAGTTCAAACATTTAAGAGGAAAACATAAACTCATTGCTAAGTTTTAAAGTGGGAAGGGTAGATTTGATTCAAAATTTTAATTTTTATCAAATAATTCTACACAAAATGAAAAACTGAAAGTCCAGCAAACATAAGAAGGCCAATAAGGTAAAATTACTATGTTAGGTAGAGGATACCTCATCAACTAAAGTGAAATATTTTTTATAACAGTAATGTTTTGCTCTTCAAAGCTCCTGGCAAGCAAAACATTACTGCAATAAAAATTTACATTAGTCGCACTTAAGATACTAGGTTCTATCAAGAAGTCTAGATATAACAAGTCTATTCAGGTTATACACTGCCAGGAAGTAAAGTTCATTTAGTTCAGGTACACATGAATACAGTTACACAAATTATCATACATAAGTAAGGGGCTAGTAACCTCTTCTCCTGTATATATTACTAAATGTAAGAGGAGAAACTTTCGTTTTTCCTTTTGGGCCACCCCGCCTCGGTGGGATACTGGCCGGTGTGTCGGGGGAGTGAAAGAAAGAAGTAACATATTGAGTAAATTACCTTCAATAACCCCCAAAAAAAAGTCAAGAGAAAAGTGACATTTCCATTGGGGTCTTTGTAAGTCTTCATATAGTTTATACTGCTCAGATCTGGTCTCCACTTAACAAAATGAACTTTTATTCACTTGAAACAATACAGAGAAGGATGACAAAGTACATGTCCTGTATCAGAAACATTTTATACAAAAAATAAGGCCGAATAGACCAAACTCGAACTCTCTGACAAGGCGTAGAATTAAGGGGGATATGACTGTGCATACAGAAGACAGAAATAAATGGGATATAAACAGTGATGAAACTATTTAAGACAAGACTCGCAGCAATAGATTTTGAAAGAATATAAGAAAGTACTGTTTTAGTAATAGTCAGATAAGTGGAACTCCCAGACAGCGTCATTGCAGCAAGAACTTTGGGTTGGACAAACATGACTGGGCCAGTAGGCCTACTGCAGTGCTCTTCATTTCTTATGCTCTTATAAATTAAGGCATGTATGGTATATAACAGGTATGGTGTATAAGACAGCCGGCGTGGGCAGGTGTGACCTACCACACCAACACTGCCATGCAGCCTACACTATAACTTCATCTTAAACTAAACTCCGGTAATATATCGCTCATTTATTATCCCCAATGTATCCGAGCATTGATAAATAACACACAAGTAGAGAAAGAGAGGTATTGATGAGAACGTACCATTGTGAGGAGTTAATAACTTAGAGAGAAGGTGCCACTGTTGTCTCTTCTGACTCACTAGTCAACACTACAACGCTAAACACATTTACATACACATAATTCAAATATTCATATACTAAAACGAAAGTAAGGGGTGCATTTATTTTTTTAATCCGTACTTACCGTTATGCTTTAGTTTCATAATAATTTGTAGGGATGAAGAGAATAAATCTAGTGGAATGTTCTTGAAGGTTGATAATGTTTTGAGTTTGTTTCTCCGACGTTCCTTCACCTTCAATCACAAAACTTCGCTTAATTTATATATTTAAATATTATTACAAATCCATATATTATCTTCCTGCAATTATTTTATTAAGCATAGTATTATTACAGTCATACAACAGTGACAAATGATGATTATTTAACCTCAGTATATATTAAAGAATAACATTACAGTTAACCTAAAAGCAATGCTGAGTATAATAATGATGATGATTAATATCATCATCATCAAACATCCGTCTATCAGACTACATCACGAGCATCTTCCCTAATACAATATTCCTAGCCCCAACCAACCCAACAGAAATCTCACTCATCATCAACACCCTTAAAAACAAGGCAGGAGACATAAACAACTTGCCAACTTTTATGTACAAAAAAGCTCAAGTATTGTCACCAATTATTGCAACACTCTTTAACAAATCCATTGAATCCTCCACCCTCCCAGCAGTACTCAAAATAGCGAGGGTCACTCCGATACACAAAGGAGGTGACCAAGCTGACTTGAATAACTATAGACCAATATCTAACTTACCACTCCTCTCTAAAATCTTTGAAAAATTAATTCATAGACGGATCTATTCCTAACTCGTCTTACATAACATGCTAAACCCCTGTCAGTTTGGATTCAGGAATAATAAAAGCACAAATGATCCTATTATACACATGCTAGAACTAATATATACCGCTCTCGAAAAGAAGTCTCGCTGGGAATTTTCATTGATTTGCATAAAGCTTTTGATACAGTCATCCGTGAACTGCTGTACACTAAATTAACATACTATGGTATAAGAGACCACTCCCTCAACTACCTAAAGTCATACCTTAGCAACAAAAGCCAATATGTGTACACAAATGGTGCAAACTCCTCCACCCAACCAATCACAGTAGGAGTCCCACAGGGAGGAGTCCTTGGACCACTCCTCTTTCTCATCTACATCAATGACCTACCGAATGCATCACAGCTACTCAAACCCATATTATTTGCAGATGACACTACATATGTCTTCTCTCACCCAAACCCAGCCATACTCGCCAACACAGTCAATGCCGAATGGCAGAAAATATCTGCCTGGATGATGACTAATAAACTTACACTGAATACTGACAAAACCTACTTCATTCAGTTTGGACACAGAGCTGCAGATGTTCCACTTAACATAACTCTAAACAGATCACCCGTCACAAGACTCACGGAGGGAAAATTCCTAGGAATCCACCTTGACAGTCGCCTCAAGTTCCAGACACATATACAACAAATTTCCAAGATAGTCTCTAAGACAGTAGGCATACATGTACTATCAAAGATATGGTACTATGTTCCACAACCAGCTCTCTTGCACTATATCATTCACTCATGTACCCTTATCTCACATATGGAAGCTGTACATGGGGATCAACAACATCAAATCACCTAAGACCACTAATAACACAGTAAAAAACAGCAGTCAGAATGATAACAAATTCCCACTCCCGACAGCATACTCCACCAGTATTCAAGTCTAAATCTGCTCACCATTAAGAACATCCATACTTATTCATGTGCCTACTACAAACATAGAACAATACATGCAAACATAAACCCTCCACTCAAACTTTTCCTCACCAACTTTAACAGGACACATGACCACAACACAGGACCACAACACAGGACACAGATCTCTTTCTGATGTACCCCGTGTCCATATCACGCTGTGTAAAAACTTTATGGACACAAAGGGCCCCAAAATTTGGAATGCATTACCAGAAAATACCAAAGTAATCCGGTCTGAAAATCAATTTAAGACTCTTCTCAAAAGCCACTTAATCACCCTAGACTAAATACACAATACTCAATATTTAACTTTACCAATAAATCTACCAATTACCTAAATCTTAAAACTTCATAACCAGACAACCAAGCTCATATATTGACAAATTACCACACAGAAGTATACATACCTACCAAAACCAGTATTGACCTTCACCGATCTGTATCATTCTCATACTGTAAACTACTCCTGAATCATGTTTCATAAAAAAAATCATTTTTGAATACATGAATATATCCCTTGGTTTGTATAAATTAGATTCACTGAAATGAATTTGAATTTGAATAATGCTTTAGCGACCAACATATTATGAAGTGGTTGAGTTGGGGTAATGAAATATAATTTTTTTTTTTTGGTGATGTTTTTGACAACCATGAGAGAACAGGAAAGTATAGGAGTAGCGACCGTACCGAAAACTAGCAATCTCAAGAACCCCACTGGAAATAAGTCACTTTGTCTGACTTTTTTGGGGTTATCATAGGTTCTCTACACACATGCTGCTATGTATGATCATCTATATAACTATATTTGTGTATACCTGAATAAATTACTTACTTACGTAACAAAAAAGGCACAATACCGTGACTTTGTAAATGGTCCAAGTCGGACCGAAACGTCGTCGTCAGCTTCTCTCTTCTACTAAAATAGGGAAGTTGGGCTCGATACTACGTAAGCTGTCAGTGGCCCTGATAAACCCAACAAACATTGAGGAAAGTGTAAGTTTATAGGTACAGTTACACGGAAGTATAATTTCACATGTTTTAGGTTATTACAATTAATATACATATAGTAACGTGTAAATTACCTAGCATAACCCCAAAGAAGTCAGTGACTTATTTCCATTGGGTCGTCGTCTTAACATATATAGAACAAAAACATCGTGTATTGTGTGTGTGACAATTCATGTCTACAAAAATAACTCTACGATTGTAACCAGAAATAAGCATGTAAATACTTCATTATCACAAACTTGTTCAGCTATCAAAATTTGACGCTATTCCCTGGACCCATTATGTGCCTCTATGATCTTTTGAGCTGTATAGCCCTTGTGGCTTAGCGCTTCTTTTTGATTATAATAATAATAATCTAAAGATAAGAGTATTATTGATGTTAGCTTTACCAAAAAATCACCCAATTACTTAAATCCTAAAACTTCAAAACAAGATGCCCGAAGTTCTTACATTGATTAATATACTACATTGTAGTAAAAATACCTATCCAAAACAATACTGCCTTACACCCAGTTGTAGCATTCTCAAACTACTTTCAACAACTCACAATGTTATATTCCCATAATATAATATCAATATTTATTATTGAAACTATTGTAATTTGAGTACAATTAATGTCTATTATAAATAAAAACAGATGTGCAAGTTAATCAAACTATGATAAATTTCTTTAGTACTTTGTAGTCTGTAAACCATTAAATTAAGTCTGCCCATAATGCCTAGGCATGATAGTGGCTCTTTGCACTCCAACTCATTATTGTAATTTCATAAACTCAATGTAATCTTGCAAAGAAATAATTTTTTTATTTTTTTTTTTATTTTTAATAAGCATTGTGCTGGACCCTGATGAAATTGTCACTTTGTTTCACCTGGGTTACTTTAGGTTAAATTCTACATAATAATATAATAATAATAATCTTTATTTAGTACAAGTACATGTACAAGGTATACAGGCCTAGCTGACATCAATGACATGCTATAAAGAAAGCCCCTTGTTGTGCAGAGCATTTCAAGCAAATTAGGTCCTTGTCCCAGGATGCCACCCACACCAGTCGACTAACACCCAGGTACCCATTTTACTGACAGGTGAACATAGACAACTGATGTAAAGAAACACGCCCAATGTTTCTACCCTCGCTGGGAATCGAACGCAGACCCTCGCCGTGTGAAGCAAGAACTTTAGTGACCAGGCCACGGGGCACTGTAGTGCCCAGTAGTTGCAAGTGATGCGTGAAACTTATATATAAACTTGTGTCCTCACATCCAATAAATAACCATGCAACCAATCGTCTGTAGACGATGAAGAAATAAGAGTATAATGTTTTACTAAATAAATCCCAAATAACTTAAGGTCATTAAATCAGTTTAAAGTATTAATACACACTCAAAATTGTACTATTGTACAGTTGTAATTTGTACTACTTGTAATATTTTGCTACCCCTCTATTTTTAAATTATACTAATTAATAATATTTTGCTACCTCTCTTTTTATAATAATAAATACTTAATTAAAATTTTACCACTCAGTAACCTGTGTCTAATCATAAGTAGTCTGTAAGCATTAGGATTAGTCTACCAGAAATGCACATGCATGCTAGTGGCTTACCTTGTGCTTAACAATATTTGGCTACATGTAACTACACTTTGTTTACTACACAAAGAAATAAAGTTGTTTATGTATTGTTTATTTATTTTATTGTTAACTATACAATGCTATGCATCGTATGAGCCTTCAAGGTTCCTTAATACTGGCTTAAGGAATTTAATATACTCTTCCCTTCCTTGGATAAAATTGAAGGTCTTTTATTGCCCATCCCCCACCAGGGCACTCCGCGACCTCATAAATGTAATAATAGTTTTTGATCCAAGAAACTGCACTTGTCCTCCCCTTCCTTGTATTGAACCTGATTGTCTCCTATTCCTCAGGCATAGTATAACCCCCATACAGGTTTAGCTCTTGCCTTAAATATAATTCATAGGTTTATGTTGCCAAATGTAACTGAACCTAGCCTGATCTACTCTATAAACTGGTCACTGCCCAAATTACCTTTTAAGTAACCTTTGACAAAATGTTTATTAAAAATATATATTAAAAGATTTTTTTTTTTTTTCAACAAGTAGGGTGTCTCCCACCGAGGCAGGGTGACCCAAAGAGAAAGAAAATTCCCAAAAAGAAAATACTTTCATCATCATTCAACACTTTCACTTCACTCACACATAATCACTGTTTTTGCAGAGGTGCCTAGAATACAGCAGCTTAGAAGCATATACATATAA